CTGGGTCAATACAACTGTGAAGTGTTGTTCTGGGTCAACACAACTCTGAAGTGTTGTTCTGGGTCTATACAACTGTTGAAGTGTTGTTCTGAGTCAATATAACTGTGAAGTGTTGTTCTGGGTAAATATAACTCTGAAGTGTTGTTCTGGGTCAATATAACTGTTCTGGGTCAATACAACTCTGAAGTGTTGTTCTGGGTAAATATAACTCTGAAGTGTTGTTCTGGGTCAATATAACTGTTCTGGGTCAATACAACTCTGAAGTGTTGTTCTGGGTCAATACAACTCTGAAGTGTTGTTCTGAGTCAATATAACTGAAGTGCTGTTCTGGGTCAATATAACTGAAGTGTTGTTCTGGGTCAATACAACTGTGAAGTGTTATTCTGAGTCAATATAACTGTTCTGGGTCAATAGAACTCTGAAGTGTTGTTCTGGGTCAATACAACTGTGAAGTGTTGTTCTGGGTCAACACAACTCTGAATTGTTGTTCTGTGTCAATACAACTCTGAAGTGTTGTTCTGTGTCAATACAACTCTGAAGTGTTGTTCTGAGTCACAAGGAGTTTTATTGTCAAAAATTTCATCATATTGTCTTTTTCTTCTGTGTAGTCTCTCAGATAGAAAATTAGGGTTGCCAGCAACTTCTTCAACAGCTGCCTTTGCTTCTTGTAGTGTTTGTAACCTTGACATGAAAATTACTTTACACATGGACTAATCAAAACAAATACTTAGTATATTCATGGTCAAATCTTTATTTTAGTTTATTAAACATACTTCACTAAAAATATGATTTTTTTTGTATTTGAAAGACTTATAATATTAACTGAAAGACTGACTAATTTTATGAAGATATACACACTATATTGAAAGTTAGAAGTATTAAATTATAAAGACTTTAAATGAGTAGAAAGAGGTTACGTGGTTGGTCAAATTGACTGACCCTGTGTTGAGAGAGTTAATGACAAGTGAAATGAACTAAACAGGGCCCCCTTCAACTGGGGGCCCGGGTGCCTCACACCCACTGTACCTCCCTAAGGGACGAACCTGGATAAACAAGTCTGACCCTTGTATCATGGTGCCATGTACAGTTGTTTGTGTAGCTACTAGCATAAGATAAACAAGTTTGACCCTTGTATCATGGTGCCATGTACAGTTGTTTCTGCAGCTACTAGCATAAGATAAACAAGTCTGACCCTTGTAGCATGGTGCCATGTACAGTTGTTTGTGTAGCTACTAGCATAAGATAAACAAGTCTGACCCTTGTAGCATGGTGCCATGTACAGTTGTTTGTGTAGCTACTAGCGTAAGATAAACAAATGGCACCATGCTACAAGGGTCAGACTTGTTTATCTTACGCTAGTAGCTGCAGAAACAACTGTACATGGCACCATGCTACAAGGGTCAGACAACCAAGCCACAAGAACCAAGTAGCAGACTTTGTTTATCTTATGCTAGTAGCTACAGAAACAACTGTACATGGCACCATGCTACAAGGGTCAGACTTGTTTATCTTACACTAGTAGCTACACAAACAACTGTACATGGCAACAAGCCACAAGAGCCAAGTAGCAGACTTTGTTTATCTTATGCTAGTAGCTACACAAACAACTGTACATGGCACCATGCTACAAGGGTCAGACTTGTTTCTGATATGCTAGTAGCTACACAAACAACTGTACGGTGCCATGTACAGTTGTTTCTCTATGTGTCACTAGTAATTAACTCTAAGTCACTGTATGGAATAAGAATAGATGTGTGTGTGTCACTTGTTTCCTTTTAGCACTATAGTTTGTACGTGTGTTTGTTCGAGAATCACTTGATTCTTCTACATTTATTATTTAGGTATATTCAGGTTCATATTGGGAAGGTTGTGGTTGTGGACATGTTCATTAGAGTATTAACAAGGTCATGGAAGATTAACCATGCCCTGTTTAATGCTATTATCTGCTAAAAGCCCATGAACCTCAGGACAATAACTGGTGTTATTATCAAAGGTTAAGGAACATATTTCATGAGTTTAGCTTAAGGAATATGATGAACAACAACCATAAATAAGGAAATGCAGAAGTCACGGAATGTCCTTAAAACTTCCTTGGACAATGTGTATATAAAAACTTTGACCAACAATGTAACATCAGAAAGTTTGTTATTGCACCAACAGTGGACATCCCATAACATTGTCCACCAAGTGATGAAAGACCTTATCAATTCCCACACTTGTTATTAACCCTTTTTGTCAAATTTAACACTTTAAACAGGTGATTCAGTCAGATCCTGACACTGACGACTCTGAGGGTACACTGGTAACAAATATATGTTGCCAAAAAACTGTTTCATTAACTGTATGCACTAAAAATGGTGTTTCTACTTACTATTATTTCATCTGTTTGTTTTTGTTTCAGAATTTTGTGCAAAACTACACGAGGGCTATCTGTGCTAGCAGTCCCTAATTTATCAGTGTAAGACTAGAGGGAAGGCAGTTAGTCATCACTACCCACTGCCAACTATTGGGTTACTCTTTTACCAACAAATAGCGGGATTGACCATCACATTATAATGCCCCCACGGTTGACATGGTGAGCATGTTTGGTGTGACGGGGATTCGAACCCGCGACCCTAAGCGCCCTAACCACCTGGCCATGCCGGGCCTATTTCATCTGTGTTTTTCATTTGGTTTAAGAGCTATTTAGATATAAATGTTTGTCCCCCTACTTTATGAAGCAGTTTACTATTGTTTAAGTACAGATATGGGGAAAGGGAAAGTCACATGATTATACTAGCATAGTGAGAAGAGTGATCAGATTTCAGAAAAATAAAAAAAACTTCCTTGGGACCAGATAGCCACAGTTTCTCCTTCTGTTACAGAAATTTAAAAATGTTGGTTTGATCACATCATAGCTGCGTTCATTCATTATTCGTGGCAATATATTCAAGTAGATGTGCTTTACATGCTCAGTTCATGAAAGTTTATTTGTACATATCTGCAGGAAATTGCTTAAAAATGTAAAATACAAGGATTTAATGAAGGATAAACAAAAAATTATTAATAAGAACTTAATGAAAGTAAATAATGTAACCACACAATATCCTGATCCCGGGGTTTTTTTTGAGTCAGACGGAATACAACATACATAATAACGGTTCAGACACTATTTATATTAGCAAATCACATGGCGTGAACTGGGTTAAGTTGTTGAATTGTAATTTTTTATCAATCTCGTCTAAACAAATCAGAATTATAGTAAATGTTATTTACTATATTAATTATTTATTTTAATACAATATATAATTATTTTTATTTTCCTTGAAATAAATAAGCTCTATTTGGAAGAAGTAGTGAACCAAAACGTTTTATGGTGAAATAACAATACTTTGGACTTCAGATGGAATAGTTAATTTTAATTAGAAATAACAAACAAATCTGTACAAGCTCTTCGCAGAATACCACTAGCTCTCAAACAAGTTCTCCACAGTTAAAGATCGTGACCTTGTCGGACGGCTTCCCAGATTTACTTCCAAGGGACTTAAAAAAAAGAGAACAAGTATTCAGGTTTTGACCATCTGAATATCATCCAGTAACGTGTCAACATCTCAAACTCAGTATTGTTTTTAACACTTATGAACAACAAAATCAAAAATTTTTACTGTTATTGAAACCTTCATAACAGAAACTAAACTTAAGATTATCCAAGATAAAACTTTTAATCAAATTATATTAATAACCAACTAGTCTTTTTTTTTTGTATATAATCTTACATTAGTTCAAGTTTAAAGGCACAGACTTTCTATCTGTTTGGAAGATTTTACAACAACAAGTAGTCCTAGGACACATCTCATCTTCATGACTAAATACCATGTTCAGTTAAAAATTATGCTTTCTATATCGTAGTATCCTTGTTAAATGTAACTAATGGACTAAAAATTATGCTTTCTACATCGTAGTATCCTTGTTAAATGTAACTAATGGACTAAAAATTATGCTTTCTACATCGTAGTATCCTTGTTAAATGTAACTAATGGACTAAAAATTATGCTTTCTACATCGTAGTATCCTTGTTAAATGTAAGTAATGAACTAAAAATTATGCTTTCTATATCGTAGTATCCTTGTTAAATGTAACTAATGGACTAAAAATTATGCTTTCTATATCGTAGTATCCTTGTTAAATGTAACTAATGGACTAAAATTATGCTTTCTATATCGTAGTATCCTTGTTAAATGTATGTAATGGACTAAAAATTATGCTTTCTATATCGTAGTATCCTTGTTAAATGTAAGTAATGGACTAAAAATTATGCTTTCTATATCGTAGTATCCTTGTTAAATGTAAGTAATGGACTAAAAATTATGCTTTCTATATCGTAGTATCCTTGTTAAATGTAAGTAATGGACTAAAAATTATGCTTTCTATATCGTAGTATCCTTGTTAAATGTAACTAATGGACAAGAAGGTTGCAATATATCACATTAAAACCTACGTCTGTTCAACATCTTTCTGATTATTTCATAAACTTAAGATTATTAAATGACATTTCTCAAAGTAACTTCACACCAACTATGTTGGTAACATTTTTAATTTTATACCCCTGTTTTGGTGATGATAAAATAATTTACCCATGTAGTTAGTGTTAGGTTTCAATATCCTTCACCGTTTACTACATAGTTTTAAAGTTAAACCAAAAATACAATAAGTAAATTGAAGTGTTTTTTTTTCGGTTATGTCAATTTTACCTCTATTCTCTTTACTATTTCCATGCCACTGATAACTTGTCCAAACACAACGTGCTTTCCATCAAGCCTGTAATAAAATACTTATTATTAATATTGATAACATCTAATAATACCATGTGTAAGTTTTGAATCAGCCAATCGTAGAAGTGATCTTTAAAATTTGCCATATGCTTTAAATTTTGGTACTGGAGAGCCTGTTTCGGTTTCATGTGATGCCACAAAATAGGTGACTTTTCCTCTGGTCACTAATTCAAAATTATGGATGGTGGCAGATAGCCATAGTAGCTTTGTATAAAAAAATATTTATACAAATTTGAAAATAATTTATAAAATGTATTGTAAGGGAAATAATTGGAATTACTTATCGAACATTTCATATCTTGTATAGGTGGATTAATGTAGTGGTAGTTATAACACAGTACAAATTGTTGTCAAAAAGTACGGAAAAAAGTATAATAGAGGGCACTGTTTATTTAAAAAAATTATTTATATAGTATTGTCACCAATTTAATTAAGCCATTATCACATAATTTAATTGTTTCAATATGTTTTTTTCCTTCTTATCAAATATTTCTACATTGTACAGTTGCTGTACGATCATTCGGCTACCGTAAACCATGGTAAACATTCTAAGTTATAACTCTCTAGAAGAAGGTAATAATTTGGTGTACAACAGTTGAATAAATATTATTCGATTACTAAACCTGCTGTTGGAAATCTAAATTACCTTTTCTGGACACTTTAGTATGCTATAAACAAAGTCACAAACATACTACTGTCCATCTAATCTGTATTGAAAATCCCAACATTTCACCATACTTAGATGTTCATTACACCACCTATTCCATTTCTATTTTTGTAAATATTATTGTTAATCAAAGGGGAACTGTATTTGGTTACTTTCCAGTTTCAAGACTTACAAGTAGTGCTTTGAATAAGAGGTCCACAAGTGTACATGAGTACCAAAATGTAAAAATGAGACTAAATCTATTTGTGTTCTACACTTTTATAGACCGCAAAACATTATTTGTTTTGGATTATGTTTAATGTGATCCACAGCTGACAGTGGTTCCTTTCTTTTAAATTATTCAGTTTCAACAAACTGTTGCAGTTCATGAAAGCCATGACTGCTTTTGTTTACACGCAACACTAGGATACTTTTAAGAGACATTATTTGTTTATATCTATATTAATGTACATTTGTTTTTGGTGCCATTCCATGCAGATCAAAATAATTTTGGAAAGGAAAACTTTCTATTTGAACACTTGCTTATTAATAAAATAAATTAAAATATAAAAATCAAAGTTTGAAATAAAACAATCTAAGAGCTGACAACAACTTACCACTCGGTCTTTCCGGTCGTGATGAAGAACTGAGAACCATTAGAGTTTGGTCCTGAGTTAGCCATTGATAGCATACCTGCATTATGAAATTTTAAGATAAACACCACTGTATATCACATCACAATATACTGTAAAAACATGGTCATTTATATGTAATACTACAATACAAAACTACCACAATAACCTAGCACTGTTATCTCAAAGATTTTAGAATCAAAAGTTTCACAGCTGACTCTCTGGGAAAATTTTATAAAACCATACTTCTAATCCAATAAAATACTTATCATCGCATGTAATGAAAATTTTATAAAACCATACTTCTAATCCAATAAAATACTTATCATCGCATGTGATGAAAATTTTATAAAATCATACTTCTAATCCAATAAAATACTTATCATCGCATGTGATGAAAATTTTATAAAATCATACTTCTAATCCAATAAAATACTTATCATCGCATGTGATGAAAATTTTATAAAATCATACTTCTAATCCAATAAAATACTTATCATCGCATGTGATGAAAATTTTATAAAATCATAC